TTGTTATGAATTCAGATTATATGGTAAACGGGAGTCTAAAGTGGTCGGAGGATTGGATGGATTTGATTCGTATACTTAATACAGACAATGATAATCATCTGACAATTGATGGGATCCGCAGATATTTGTCACAAACGACGGCCGGCTTTGCATTCAATGACTATTTCTATTTGTTTGCCGGCAATCGTGTCTGTCGTCTCAATAACAGGACTCTTTGGTTTGACGACAACTGTTTGACTCAAACCATCGCTCAATGGATTGGTTGCGAAGACACTAACAATTACTTCATTGTATTCATAGTTTTGATTGTCATTGCAATTATAATAGCAGTGATTATAGCATTCATTGTATGCAGAAATCGGCCAAAATCTCAACCAAGAGTTTACCGAAAATATAAAACAACTCAAAAGATCGACGATTTGAAAATTGAATCCAACAATAAGTCAAAGATATCGGAGACAAAGTCGTTGACCGAAATGTCGTCATTGGATGAAAACAGACCAATAGATCTCAAGATTACGACCACTACTTCGGCGGCCGATAAGAAATCTGCGGCCAAATAAAGTCCCAAACAATTGAAGACTAAACTAAAAGCCAAACCATTATTATATAGAAAATAGTTTTTAAACGCATTTTATTATTTATATTTTTTTCATTTTTCTGACACTTTGTTATACTTTTTATTTATTTCCATTTATTTAACTTAAATTCAATAAATTTATAAGAGATTACTCTTTAGTATAAATGTTTTAATATTAATATAATTAATGAATAAAATAACAAATAAATTGTTTTATTTCTATTAAAATTTTTTAATCAATCAATCAATTCGTGGATTTGGTTTAATCTGTTCCGACGCTTCCAACCGATCCTTCATTGCTCTTAACCTAAATTAATGAATAAAATAACAAATAAATTGTTTTATTTCTATTAAAATTTTTTAATCAATCAATCAATTCGTGGATTTGGTTTAATCTGTTCCGACGCTTCCAACCGATCCTTCATTGCTCTTAACCTCCAGATCCGTTGGTCTCTTGCCTTTCATCGAAGACAAAGACTTCGATGCCTTCGGGTCTTCACTTTGCGATGCATTCAAAGACTTATTATCCGATTCTGTGTCCGAAGAGATGGTCACATAATCTCGAGGTTTTGGTTTGGTTTTGTATTTTTGGTAACCTTTTGGCGCAGATCTCATCCAAAGTTTATACGTTATAAATGCTATAATCAGTGCAGTTATGACCACCAAAATGATCATAAAAATCAAAATCTTTATATATTTACTGAACCCATTGTTTATTGTCTTTACATCGCATCCAATCCATTGAGCGATGGTTTGTGTCAAACAGTTGTCGTCAAACAGAAGAGTCCTGTTATTGAGACGACAGACACGATTGCCGGCAAACAAATAGAAATAGTCATTGAATGCAAAGCCGGCCGTCGTTTGTGACAAATAACTCCGGATCTGATCAATGGTCAGATGATTATCACTTTTATCGCTCTTGAGTTTATCCATTATGTTATAAGACTCTACGGCATAACTATTGTTGCTTTTAACCCAATAAATGGTATCCATTGTGTAATCATTATTCAAATACAGTTTACTTCTAATCCTATCGTTTGTCTCAATTTTATCAAAATAAATAAACCAAACGTCACTTTTTGTGACCCAATCTTCTCTCTGAAATCTAAATGTCTTACTTTTTGACCACAATTGCCATTCATGCTGTAGTCTCCACTAAATTAATAACGTATTTAATGAATATACTGTGTATACAGTATAACGTATTTATATAAAACTTACATTATATAATGAAATGAAATCTGCGGCTAAACTATAATACACTTCATTAATGGGACCCATTAGGCGAACACTCGACCACTTGTTTAATGGTTGGGATCTGTTGTATCTGAAGAAAGGATTTATGGGATCCGTTGTATTGACAGTCAATTGATAGACAGTGTTGTCGGCAAACAAAGTGATGACATCTGATCCCAAATCACTGTATTTGTCTACAAATGCCGAATCAATTCTTATGTTTGTGTTATTACACAATGGATTCTGGGATTAAATATTGAATTATTGGATTAAATATTAAATATTGAATTAATAATCAAATTGAAAAGTTTATGCATAAAATCACTGACCGTCGCATTCAATACAACCAACAGTTGTATTAAAAACACAATTAATGTTAAAATGAAATGCATTTGTGTTTAGAGTTTATATTCAAATATTTGTAGAAATGATTTCAAAACGAACTTTTAGTTTAGTTTTTATAATTTACAACAATATTAATTGTTATTGAAGTTTGAGATTAAATACATAATTATTTCAATTAATCTAATGTTAAAAATATGTTTATTTACAAAATTACATTATTATGAATTAATGTTGTTTTAAATTATTTTACATTTATTTGGATTTAACTGTAATTTGAGAAAAAATTTTGTTATGAAAACAATTCAATATTTTAATTGAAAATGGGTTTGATTTTACAAATTCATGTGATTTTAATACAACTGTTGGTTGTATTGAATGCAACGGTAAGTGATTTTATGTATAAATTTAATTCATTTATAATTTACATTAAATATTTATTTACAGAATCCGTTGTGTAATAACACAAACATAACAATTAATTCGGCATTTGTGGACATATACTCTGATTTGGGATCAAATGTCATCACTTTGTTTGCCGACAACACTGTCTATCAATTGAATGTCGAAACAACGGATCCAATGAATCCAAACTTCAGATACAAAAGATCCCAATCATTGAATGAGTGGTCAAACTATGGATCTATATCTCCGCCCATCGATGTTGTGTATTACAAATTTATCAACCGATCCATAATTGCATTGCTAAACGTAAGTCTGTATTAAATAAAATAATTAGTCACTTAATAGTATAATCAAAAACAGAAACAAA